CCCCTCCCTCCCAAGGGGAGGAGGGGGTTCAAACCCCTCCCCCCTCGGCGCCGGCGCCGGCGCTGGCGGCCGCCAGCAGCGCCGACGGCGGGGACGCAGCGACGATGACCAGAGGCAGCCCAAGGGCGGAAGGGGGGGGTTTGAACCTCCCCCCATGGCGCCGGCGCCGGCGCTGGCGGCGGCCAGCAGCGCCGGCGCTGGCGGCGGCCACGGCGGGGACGCGGCGACGAGTACCACCACCACCACAGCCACCACCACAACCCACCACCACCACCGCATCAACCCACCACCACCACTACAACTCACACTCACAGCCACCACCACCACCACCACAAAAAACCCACCACCACAACCACAATCTACCACGCAACCACCACCACCGCCACAACCACCACCACTACCAGCAGCACAACCCACCGCCACCACCACAAACCACCACACCACCACCACCACCACCGCCACCACCACCAGCACCACCAGCACCACCTCCACAAACCACCGCCACCACCACAACCAACCACCACCACCACCACCACCACAATCACCACCACACCACCACCACAGCCACCACAAGCACCACCACCACCACCAGCACCACCTCCACAAACCACCGCCACCACCACAACCCACCACCACCACCGCCACCACAAACCACCACCACACCACCACTACAACCACCACAAACACCAGCACCACATCTCACCATCACCACCACCACCACGAAAACCCACCACCACCACAACCACAATCTACCACGCCGCCACCACTACCGCCACAACCACCACCTCTACCAGCAGCACAACCCACCGCCACCACCACAAACCACTTCACCACCACCACCACCACCACAATCTACCACACCACCACCACCACCACCACCACCACCACCACCACAAACCACCACCACACACCACCAAACGCTCCATCCAGGGGGGGGTGGTCTGGTTCCAAATCCCCCCCCCCCCAGAACGCGCCCTTTCATATGTATGTACATGTCACCCTCTATCGGGGGAGCCATCGAGATTACCTAAAAGGACCACCATGGTGACAACGATCGGGGCAGCGACCTATCATTACAAGACACGACACGTCGGAAGACACGATTCACTGTGGACGACTGGTTCTCCGTGGGGTCTGCATGTTGATGATGACTGTTTCATTGGTTCTCGTTTTTGCTCATAGGTTTTGGTTGCTGTTGCATTGGCGTTCATGTCAACTGCTCGCAAACAATTGGTTGCTGTCCCGTGTGCTTCTGCAAACAACTGAGCCTGAATGCCGGCCTAGCTTGCTCATCAACGCCCGTCGCCGCCCGTCGCAGCCTCACATTTCTGGGCCTGACTGCTGGTCTGGCTGACTCGTCGTCGCCCGTCGCCACCGTCGCCGCTGGATTGCTTCGCATTGCAGTCGCAATGCACTGCATAGCACCGCATTGTTTCGCATTGCTCTGCATCGCGTTGCATTGCTTGGCACTGCGTTGTCTTGCTTTGTATTGTTTTGCATTGCTTTGCGTTGCTTTGAATTGCTTTGCGTTCCTTTGCGCTGCTTTGCCTTACATCGCTTTGCGTCGATTTGCACTCCTGTGTATCGCATCCTTGCATTTCGATGCTTGCATTGCTTTGCTTTGCATTGCTTTTTTTCCAGGCTCAAATTTCAGGACCCCACCACGCCAAAGCAAACGATGTGACGTCGGAAGAAGGGTTGGCGCACAATCTCCCTTCACAGACGTGCACCTCCCGAACTGCGCACTTCCAACAAGCTCTGCGTTTCCCCACCGTAGTGATCAATACAGATCTATATATATATATGAATATCAATATGTTTATATTTATATTTTTTTGGTTTTTAAAAAGTACCGATGCGACCACCCTTCGGGCGATAAGGAGATTGTGGGGGGGAGAGGGGGGGAAGCCAAGGTCTGACTCAATCGATCTCACTATCGATCTCACTTAACGGGACACCACGGGACACCAGGGGACACTTGTCGATCTCACTATCGATCTCACTATCGATCTCACTCAACGGGACACCACGGGACACCACGGGACACCTCGGGGCACCACATCGATCTCAGTATCGATCTCACTATTGATCTCACTATCGATCCCACCATCGATCTCACTCGACGGGACACCTCGGGACACCACGGGACACTGCGGGACACCGCGAGCCACCGCCGGACGGGGGAGAATCATTTGTCTTGACTTCGCCCTAGCAACGGCTGACACCACGGGACACCGCGGGACACCGCGAGCCACCGCCGGACTGACGGACGGACGGGGGAGAATCATTTGTCTTGACTTCGCCCTAGTAACGGCGGACACCACGGGACACCACGGGACACCACGGGACAACGCGGGACACCGCGAGCCACCGCCGGACGGACGGACGGACGGGGGAGAATCATTTGTCTTGACTTCGCCCTATCAGCGGCGGGTTCATTCCTCTCGCGCGCCCACGCAGCTTCGCCTCGCCCGCACGCACGACACGAACGAAACGAAACGATTTCCCGGTTGGGGGTCTCCATTCCACTGCGATCTCACTCCCCAACCTCCGATACGTATAAGATCAGCGGGCCCCCTCCGGGGGCGCAATGCTGCGAAGGTGTGTGCGGTCTGCTGTCATGTGTTATGTGTTGCCATTTGTTGTTTGGCTTGTTGTCTCTCTAGTCCTGTTTCCTGCCTCCTGTTTACTGTCTGCTCGGGGGCCCCGCCGCGCCACCAAACAGCCAACTGGTGGGGTGAACCTTAAATCCTGGCTGCTCTGGGCCACCCCAGGATTCTCACGGTGACGCCACCGCGCGGTCAGAACGGCCCGAGAGGCCTCCAAGATTGCCCGAAGAGGCTCCGAAGAGAGCCTCGGGAGGCCAAGACGGCCCAAGATGGCCCCAAGATGTCCTACGATGGCCCCAAGACGGCCCAAGATGCTCCCAGGACGGCCCAAGAGGCCTCGAAGAGGCTTCCCAAGAGGGCCCCACTGAGCAAAACTCAGCGATTTCCTTAACGTTTTGAAGGTGTGTGGCCTTCTCGCCTTTTCGGCTTTCCGATGCTCCGAGACGGACCAAGAGGTTCCAAGATCGCCCCACGACGGCCCTAGAAGTTCCCATGACAGCCCAAGAGGCCCCCAAGACGGCCCAAAGGCTGTCGAAGAGGGCCTCAAGATGGTCCAAGAGGAGCCCCAGACGGTCCAACAGAACCCTACGACGGTCCCAAGAAAGAACCCAAGAAGGAGTCCACGAACCGAAAACTCGACCTTTCCGCCCCGAGAGGGCC